CAATGTAGTTCGAATAAATGTAGGTTTACTTGTTTGTACCAAATTTCTTCAAAATCTTTACTAGAGTTATCATGCTAACGGACACACACACAAACAGACATTTGTATGTATATTATATAATGTGTATATACATTTGAACGAATAGTGTTTTTGGCAACTGGGGACATAAAATGGAAAAAAGAATTCCGTCCTGAGTCTAGTATTACCATGAGACCTACGGTAATATGTTCCCCTATTCCCTGTGGGAAATCGAGTAACGCTACATTGTAATGATGTATTGAACTTGAAAAATAATATTCTATATGGCACGCTTGATTATTATCTAACGTATTACATCATATATTTTTATAAAGTTCAAGAGGTTATACATGTATAACAAAAAACAAAATATTTCTACCTAGTAGGGATCTAAACTAATCAAATGTAAAAAAAATATAGTTAAATGTTTTCGAATAATTTTAAAATTTGCAGAACAGTTGTAAATTAGAGGAATATTATTATTTTACCAATATTGAAAACAAAATGAGCCCTTTCTCATAATATATATAAATAAAATTTGACTCAAATGTATGTACATATTTTGCCTTAGACAGCGAATCAATTATTACAACACTAAATACCAAGCATCGTCTCTCATAAGTAATTCATTATCAGCATATACTGACGAGAAGAGCACTTGACAAACATAACGAGCAAAATAGTCTACATAATACCATCGAATACATAGCAGCATGAAACGATATAAGACATAACGACTGGCTCTAACGTAGCGAGATCATCTACAACTAATGCCATGGAATACATTGCAGCATGTAAAGATGTATTACATAAAGACTGGCTCTAACGTAGCGAGATCATCTACAACTAATGCCATGGAATACATTGCAGCATGTAACGATGTATTACATAACGACTGGCTCTAACGTAGCGAGATCATCTACAACTAATGCCATGGAATACATTGCAGCATGTAAAGATGTATTACATAAAGACTGGCTCTAACGTAGCGAGATCATCTACAACTAATGCCATGGAATACATTGCAGCATGTAACGATGTATTACATAAAGACTGGCTCTAACGAAGCGAGATCATTTACAACTAATGCCATGGAATACATTGCAGCATGTAACGATGTATTACATAACGACTGGCCCTAACGTAGTGAGATCATCTACAACTAATGCCATGGAATACATTGCAGCATGTAAAGATGTATTACATAAAGACTGGCTCTAACGAAGCGAGATCATCTACAACTAATACCATGGAATACATTGCAGCATGTAACGATGTAAGACATAACGACTGGCTCTAACGTAGCTAGATCATCTACAACTAATGCCATGGAATACATTGCAGCATGTAACGATGTAAGACATAACGACTGGCTCTAACGTAGCGAGATAATCTACAACTAATGCCATGGAATACATTGCAGCATGTAAAGATGTATTACATAACGACTGGCTCTAACGTAGCGAGATCATCTACAACTAATGCCATGGAATACATTGCAGCATGTAACGATGTATTACATAAAGACTGGCTCTAACGAAGCGAGACCATCTACAACAAATGCCATGGAATACATTGCAGCATGTAACGATGTATTACATAACGACTGGCCCTAACGTAGTGAGATCATCTACAACTAATGCCATGGAATACATTGCAGCATGTAACGATGTATTACATAACGACTGGCCCTAACGTTGCGAGATCATCTACAACTAACGCCATGGAATACATTACAGCATGTAACGACGTATTACATAACGACTGGCCCTAACGTAGCGAGATCATCTACAACTAATACCATGGAATACATTGCAGCATGTAACGATGTAAGACATAACGACTGGCTCTAACGTAGCTAGATCATCTACAACTAATGCCATGGAATACATTGCAGCATGTAACGATGTAAGACATAACGACTGACTCTAACGTAGCGAGATAATCTACAACTAATGCCATGGAATACATTGCAGCATGTAACGATGTAAGACATAACGACTGGCTCTAACGTAGCTAGATCATCTACAACTAATGCCATGGAATACATTGCAGCATGTAACGATGTATTACATAAAGACTGGCTCTAACGAAGCGAGATCATTTACAACTAATGCCATGGAATACATTGCAGCTTGTAACGATGTATTACATAACGACTGGCCCTAACGTAGTGAGATCATCTACAACTAATGCCATGGAATACATTGCAGCATGTAACGATGTATTACATAAAGACTGGCTCTAACGAAGCGAGACCATCTACAACTAATGCCATGGAATACATTGCAGCATGTAACGATGTATTACATAACGACTGGCCCTAACGTAGTGAGATCATCTACAACTAATGCCATGGAATACATTGCAGCATGTAACGATGTATTACATAAAGACTGGCTCTAACGAAGCGAGACCATCTACAACTAATGCCATGGAATACATTGCAGCATGTAACGATGTATTACATAACGACTGGCCCTAACGTTGCGAGATCATCTACAACTAACGCCATGGAATACATTACAGCATGTAACGACGTATTACATAACGACTGGCCCTAACGTAGCGAGATCATCTACAACTAATACCATGGAATACATTGCAGCATGTAACGATGTAAGACATAACGACTGGCTCTAACGTAGCGAGATAATCTACAACTAATGCCATGGAATACATTGCAGCATGTAACGATGTAATACATAACGACTGGCTCTAACGAGCAGACCCTTTCATCATAATAATACTAAAATTATAATAATACAAATAGTGATTTAGTAGTTTTTTTAGCAGGTGGGTCGCGAAGATGTAAGATGTAAGAGGGTCGCCGGACCAACAAGTTTGGGATCCAATGATCTAACAATGAATTCCCACCTATATACTTCTATACCACGAACCTAAAACTCCTTTGACAGTGTAACATCTGTCCTATGTAGGCCTATAAGACTATATAGGCCTACTAATAATTAAAATCCTTAAGTATAATTCTCAGTATCCAACAAGTGTGCACCACACCAATCTTTCTCATTAATTAATACAATACTAATCATATTTAAATATGAGTATAAAAGTCAACAGCTTTGTTCATTTTACTATTGCGTAATAGTAGTTTACGCAACGATTGCGTTAAGTTAGTCTTTACGACACGAGTAGAAAATTTAAGGCACGAACCTGGGCGAGTGCCTTAAAAACTTATACGAGTGTCGCAAAGACTATTAACGCGAGTTGCGTACACTACTTGACCTACGACCGTTTTTTAATTACTAAAAATCTGGTTTTTTATTACTAACAATCACTACTCATAACTTCCTAGAGAGGTTATGTTTTCGTTTATTGTCATTGTCACTGAAAGTGATGCAACGACTTATTGTATAATCAGCTGATTTCATGTAATTACGTGTTTGTAAAACTTTGTTAAATAATACGTTACTTTTTCAGGCAATAGGTTCTGCTAGCAGCATTCTTACCATAAATACTGTTTCACGGAACAATTAGGGAAATATTGCATATATATTTGGACAACTGAATACTACAGTGAAACAGTTAATTTACAGTTAGATCTCAGCATCGAATATGTGGTCCACAACGAGTTGGGGGAAAAAGTGGTTAAGAGGTTTTCAAAATAAACCAGAAGAACATTTTCATTTCTCAATTTAACCTTATTTTGTTTCGTCCATTTAATGAATTGCTGGCATGTAATTGCATATGGTACCTTTGTTTTGATTTTGGTGGCAAAAGATTAGCACAAACAGTTTGTGCTCTCATTTCTATCTCGTCAACATCACTTTCACTAACTGATATTTTAAAATCATCCTTCATTTAACTTCCACCAACTTAGGTTAAGAATGCGAGTATCAACAGGAACAAGCCGGATCAACAATTAAAATTGTCAACTGATCAGCTAATCAGCTGATTAGTTGACGTTCGAAGTATTACAATTGTACTTCTTTTCTCTCAATCCTTGAACCTCATTGGTCCGTTGCCCGTGTTGATATGAGAAAAACTATGCTGATATGAAATGAAACTATGCTGATATGAAAGTTAACAGCTGTTAAGTGAAACTTTTCAATTCTAAGAACTGAACTGAAATGGCTACTTTAAAAAACGGTCGTAGGTAAACATTTTTGAAGACTGAAGCTTAGCAGACTTACTAGTAGGAACAATAATAATTATTGACAGTTATAAAAACTGACTTTAAGCCCAACATTGATCTTCGGTTACTTAGCAACAATACTGAAAAATAGCTAGACTAATCTGAAGACGTAGTTCCTTAGTAATTGTATCAACGAAAGTTATGTTTGTTGAATGGACATAACCAAGGAAAAAAGGTCTACCCATCCATGCAATAATCGACAAACAAAATATTTTTTTAGACTTGTATAGCAAAATTGGTCTCGTAAGCAGCTATCCATTAATATTTAGTTTGAAAATAATGAATTTACATGGTATTAGGTGGGTAAAATATTATTGATAATTTTAAAAATCAATACAGCAACTATATGAACTATTTAACTTGTTCAAACGCAAACCAGGGTATGAATGGTATTACTATTTTCACAGCAATAAAATTAATTTGATGAACTATTAACATAATTTTCTTTCCGCCACGAAGACAATATTATTACAATGCTACTGTATATCATTATGTATGGTTGGAATACCTCTATGTTTATGGATTTAATATTTTAAATGTGTACCATGATCACATTGTTCTGTTGTTAAAATAGGTGAGGCACTTCTTTAAAAATAGCTACATCAAGTTTTTAATCAAACGTAATTAATTGGCTTCCACTACACTTTATTATAAATTAAAATCACACATTTTAATTTATAATAAAGTGTAGTGGAAACCTAATGTATACTTTTAGGTAGATGGTAAACTAAGCTATTACAAATAATACCTAGATGTAAATTATATGACCAAAAAGATGATAATATTCTACTATGGTCTATGTAACATGTGAGGGAGATAATCTCACCTGTGATGGCAGTGCCTGCCCTCCACCCTGGAACTGTTTGTGCTGCAGTCCGCTCATCCTGGAATCAACACCATCGTCCGAGTCTGTTGATGGATTTGGCAGTGATTTGCCCCGAAGTATTTTCTTTGATGCTCCTCCAGAAGACCGCTCGGGTTCTGAATGTTTCGAAATTGCTCCTCCACTCGCACCCATATCTTCAGCTAAGGCAAAGGTAACCCTTGGAGACTTTCCAAAAGACCCTCTGGCCGATCCAGAGCCTGGAGATGCTCTTGAAAACTCTGAACACTGTCTTGCAAAAGCTGTTGTTAATTCTTCAACTGAGAATGTCCTCTTTCCTGTATCTACTCTGACTGGGGCGTTTGTATGTTGGCCACAATTACAGGTTGACTTTGGTCTTCCAGCAGCATCGATCTTCTCCGATTTTACAGGTTTTTTTGGCAAGAAGTCTTCTTTAATACTTGACGAATCCCCAGAAGAATATCCACTTTGAACAGGAGTTGTAGATCTTGCAAAATATTTATCTGTTTTTGATCTACCGATTCGCGATAGTGTGCTGTAGCCAGTTACCGACTGAGTCTCTCCAAAATATCCTTTAAAAGTGTCTGTTCCCTCCCAAGTTGGGTGACCACAATCAAATTTTATGCGAGATAGAGTTCTAGTTCCGTCTGCACTAGACCCTCTTTGGCCGTGACGACGATATTCTCTGCCTGGCTCTGAAAGAGCTTCAGTAGTCTCCCCAACAGAGTTCCAGAGCCCTCTTATGGTACAAGATATACTACAGTTACTACGGTCGTAGCCAATCGATAGTTTGGAATCGGATAAATTACCTAACGACTGGCGGCGATATTCTTGTGGTTGCTTCGATCTTTTGGCGGTTGGAGGTCGAGGACAAGGCTTGGCTACCACTCCAAGTGCTTCGGCTGCACTTATTCTCCCTGTTTTTGTTGACGTCTGTTTCTCACTGACAAATGACGCGGGAGACGAAGATCTACTTGTCGCTCTTGAACTCGGTCGACTGCAAGGAAGACTTTCACTTCCTACAACTCGGGAGGGTGTGCGTTTGGCGGAATCATTATATACATTCGTGGGTACAGCTTGATTTGATGTTAATTGTTGAGCAAAATTATCATTACTTAAATCTACACTACTTGGTATTTGAACTTCGTTAGCCTTTTGTTTTGCGTTCACATCATCACTTTCTTTGAGACTTTTAATGTATGACTTATCTAACACTGCTCTATGTTTACCAGAAGGTGGAAGGTCTTTATTTGGCTGGGGCTTTACATCTTTTTCCTCCGTCTCGTCACTTGTACTTGCATGTCGACTTGAAGGCTTACTCGAAGTATCTTCTCCCGATGGTTTTCTCTTAACAGGAGAGTCTATCGCTCTTACCCATATATCTGCAGTCGCTCCGTCCTCAGAAGACGGGCTTTCTAGAGATTGGTCCTGTGATGAATCTAAATCGGGATTTGGAAAATCTAATTCATCCTCAGTTACTGATTTGGAAAACTCATTATTTACACTCTCCTGTTGCAACGCTTTAAGAGCATTCTCTTCTGGCCTCGGGGGTATTTCTGGGGGGCACTGTATATCTACTTGGTCATCATGTTTAATATGTGTTGGAACAACATCGGGAATACCTTGATCCAACGAGTGATGTTCATTTATTGGTCTTGGAGGAGTCACTGGAGGCTGATTCTGCTGAACAGGAGGATCTCTTCTGACTGTGGTTAGCCGAGTCAACTCATCTCTCTTAGGAGGCAGAGGAGGTTTAGGCTTCGGCCTAGGAGCTGCTACAGGGTGATTGGAAACATTGGGCTGGCTCGGCTGGTTATATTGATTTGGCTGATTTAACTGATTAGTTTGGCTAGATTGGTTAGGGATACTTCCGTTAACGGTTCTGGGAGGCACCACGGGTGGAAGAACTTGAATCCCTCCTCTAATTGGTAGACTCGGTGGTCTTTGGTCAAATCTTTGCGCTTCGAAGTTTCCAACGGGTTTAATTCCGAAAGAGGTCCCAAAAGTGTTAGTTTGTTGATACTGATGCCAGTTATGCGTCTCAGACTTTTCGTCTATGGGCTGTTCAGAAGGTTCATTTTGCATGACTACGGGACATTGAACGGCAAGGCGGGACTGCTGGCCGGACAGGGAACGGGGAGTCTCGTCTTGCCTCAGGGGCAGAGCGCCGACACCTGGGAACCACACGATGGCAGGGATATAAACACCTTCACTCGAAACACTGGGTGGTCGTATTCACCCGAGTGATGAAGCATTTACATTTTTATCGATTTAAGTATAAATTAATTTAACCATAGACCTCACTTCAGAATCCTATACAGGTTACAGTAAAACATAACCTTAAACTTTGTTTACCTAACTTTATCTACAAAGTTATTATTACATTCACTTAATTATAGTTTTACAAAACACAGTTAAGGTCATACGCCACTAAAAGTACTGCGTATTACTGAAACCACTGCACTATAAAACACTAAATCGGCGTAGAGATCCGTCACAATAACATCACTCGGAACTATTCTAAACGGGGGACACACCTTGCAGCGTCACACCGGACTATCCGTGGTCTGCGGGTAACACGTGATACGGTAGCCGAAACTTGTTCCTGTCGCTGTTAGGAAACTATGTAAGCTCGAGCGCGAGAAGCACACCGTCCACCAAAAGAAGATATTATTTTATTGTGTGTCGGCGCGGGGCGGCAGCGGCAGGGCGGTGACGATCGAAGTGAGGCGGCCTACTGCGTCGACGCCGGCGTCTCGACGTCCCGACCGGAACCTGACCTCACTGACATTTTGGGTCACCGGCTCGGCTCTCCTACCCTCAGGCTCTCTAATTAGTGGCAATGTCATTACCTATGTAAAATATACTTAAGGGTACACCCTTCATCATGAAAGGCCAAGCCGAAGAGGTCCGGTTTTAGGAAAAATTTAATGTTCTAATAGAAACAGTAGGGTTGCGCCTTCATAGTTGTGTTCGAAGCCATCAAAACTATTGAAACAAATATAATTACAGTAATACAAACTAAGCTTAAGTCCCACTCTTCAAGCAATTCGATAACTACAAACTGTACAGCATGTGCAGCTTCAACATTTTTTATATTCGTTATACATACATTTTCTTTCGTTTCAATTTAACTTATCTTATAATCATGTCGAATGTGACATTTTACGTTTAGCATTGTTTATTGTTGAAGGGAGACCTTGGTGGGCCAACACCTAAATTGAAAAAAAAATTAACAAGTGTTTCACGACTGTAATAAAGTGTTTAGGAAAATGAATTGCTTTACAAATTCTTAAACGCTGTGTGAAAATAGATACTGACTCAAGTAATAGTTTGTCAAAAGATGATAATAATTCAATATCAACTTTGATTATTATTAAATAAACCTTATCTGAAACGGAAACTTATATATTTATATTTTATTATTGCCTAATTCAGCCTTAGATGGTGATCATGACAAATAAGCTACATTCGCCACTGTAACATACTGCATGAATCTTTTCTGAATCTCTTTATAAAAGAGCAACATTAGGTAAGATCAACACGATCTACTTCAACCAAGACTCAGCAACCATAGACGTTCACAACATTGGCCTTTTAGAAACCGCTGATCGTAGAATATCGCGGGAGAACTCACTATTCTAAATTACTCACGATACTCTTTCGCACAGTCAAATACATTTATTGAAAATTCAATCCACAGTGTAAAAGCTTAACCAGTAAATTTTCCACAGCACATTCTTTATTCGTTTTACAAATCAAACGCGTTGACATAATAGTGTTTAAGAAAGAATGAATGGAACGATTCGAAACATCGTATTTTGCAAATAAAGCAAGGTCAGTGTTGAATCGTCTAAGAACAGTTGAAATAACGTTTTACCAGAGAAATTCATTGATCATTTTTAATAGATTTTAGTGAATTTCTCATTTAGGGAATAAGTTATTGCTATTACCGTAGGTCTCATGGATCCGGGACCGATTTAATTATTTGTTTTGATGTCCCCAGAGGCCAAAAACACCATTCGGTTAAATTCATATATACATGTGTTTCTATGTGTCCATTAGCACGATCCGATTTCGATTACAATAATTGGTACAAACGTGTAAACCTACATTTATTTTATTTGAACGAGTACGCCATCGAGCGTATTCGGGCCATGACTTGGGGGTTTTATGGGGGGATTTATAGGGTAAAGATGAGTTTTTCTTATTTTTGACCCTCAAAACATAAAGTTTCCCGAATAGCTACAAAATATTTGTGTATCGTTAATGTTTTTTGTACGGTTATTGGTTACGAAGAAAATTCAAAAATAATTTAAATGTAAAATTCTCCTGTTATTCCAATGGAATAAAACTGTTGTAGGTTGCCTGTTTATAGATATATTTTGATCAATTAAATTGTTTGGCAAATATATTTATGTTACGCTAAGCTACTAATATTTTCTAAAAAAACACACTTTATTACTCTCCCTGTAGCAGAAAATCTAGGTACAGTGATCGTTAAACACAATGCTATTGAACTAGATTTAATTGATGATCAAACAGGCAAACGGAGATTCGCTTAGTTTGCAGGTTTACTGTGGTGGGGGTATATTTTTTTAAGTATATTTTTACTTATTATAATTGTTTTTTATTTAAACAATGTATTATAAATTACAAAAGGAAAAGAATAATCGAGGTTTCATAATTTTGCTTTCCGTTAGTGTGTAGTTTTCAACTCATTTTAGGCTCAATATAATGTTCATTTATGAATTTCTATTATAGAAAGTGTTATAGAGTAGGAGAGTCCCAAGTAACAGTTAACATTGCAAAGTCATATTATATTGCTTAAAAATCTGCGTAGTTCTGCAGAATTTGCCATTTATCCTTAGAAAACTCGAATTATATCTGAAATAATATCAGTTATAAGAGAGAGGGGATTATATAAATCCCTAGGAAAACAGCGCAGGGCGATGGGATTGTGGGATTACAGCACAAGCCTGCGTCCCTAGACGAGAACCTCCACGTCCACAAAAATCTTCCTTAATAGCCATCAACATTACCAATAGATTTGTAACTCGATAGAAAAAGAGAGAGAAAGCCTACCATTAAATATACCATGATATTCATTCATCATGATACTCATTCATGAGTTAGTAATTATATAATAAGCTCATCATGTCATTCGAGGTTTTCAACTGCATAGTCTGTTGCGATTGTGTTATCTTACGTTTCTTATCATTATTTCAGTTTCAATTTTAAAAGTATGATACAGGTGAAAAGAGTACAAGAGTTCATCACATTCAATAACTGTTCTCGGCGCCTTTTATTATTTATAGATAGTTAATTTTGTTTTATTGAGAAATATCTTATCAATGCTAATGTCAAGCTAAAGCTGATCCCAAAACGTTGTGTATTGCATATTACCATTGTGATGGAAAATGTCCTATATCGAACCTATATACAGGGTGTCCCGGAACTCTCTACCAATATTTTAGGGCATTGTTCCTGGGTAAGAAACATATCTAAATATCATATTTAAATTGTCCGGAAGTCCTTAGTTACTCAGATAGCCGCCATTTTGTTTTTTTCACTTATTAATTTTTTTCTGAAAATTGGTTAAACATACGAAGTTGAAACTTTGCACAAACATTTATGACAACTAGACAAAGCTACAAAAATATTATGACGATTTTCAAATTCATAAAACAAAATGGCGGCTGTTTAAAATTTTGTTTCTTAAATTACTCGAAAACCGTTGATGTTACAAAAATTTTACAAGAATAACTTTTTTAAGGCAATTTTATTACAAATCGATCGACACCTTAATCTTTAAGATCGGACGAGTATTAACTGAGATATGGCAGTTTTAGTGATACGTGACCGCCGGATATTAGTTGCAGCGCATGCTGAAAGCAGTCACGTATCACTAAAACTGCCATATCTCAGTTAATACTCGTCCGATCTTAAATATTAAGGTGTCGATCGATTTGTAATAAAATTGCCTTAAAAAAGTTATTCTTGTAAAATTTTTGTAAAATCAACGGTTTTCGAGTAATTTAAGAAACAAAATTTTAATCAGCCGCCATTTTGTTTTATGAATTTGAAAAATCGTCATAATTTTTTTGTAGCTTTGTCTAGTTGTCATAAATGTTTGTGCAAAGTTTCAACTTCGTATGTTTAACCAATCTTCAGAAAAAAATTAATAAGTGAAAAAAACAAAATGGCGGCTATCTGAGTAAATAAGGACTTCCGGACAATTTAAATATGATATTTAGATATGTTTCTTACCCAGGAACAATGCCCTAAAATATTGGTAGAGAGTTCCGGGACACCCTGTAGAACTCGCCCTATCAATGAACTTTAAATAAAGAAGCTGGTCTTTCAGTCAAAAAAGAATCAGAGCCGTCTTTGTTGATCTGAAGATGGGAAAAATTTAAAATCCCCCGTTTGCTGAAGTTAGACGAATAAATTCCATTGCATTATGCCTGCAGTACACTATCGCCGAATGTAGGCGAACTAAGACGAACGCGATAGTGTACACGGTGTGCTCGTGTACATTTGGGGTAGTTCGCATCGCCAACATTCGTGTTCGGGTGCGCTCGCTTTTTTGGCGGTCTCCCGTCACGAATCAAAGGAGACGAACTAGGACGAATGCCGAGCGCAGACGGGCACGAACATAGCCAGTACACACTCGCTGTCATTCGTAGTCACGGACTCTCTCTTTATACAGTATTTACTGCAGTGGTTGTGTAGTTAGAGTTACTTTTAGTTTTTGTTATTTAATTATTTTCTACTAGATATTATATAGATAAATTAATTGTACAAAGTATGGAGTATTCTCACGAGGAAACGCTGTTATTTTTGGAACTATACCATAGTGAGCCTGTTCTGTGGCCGTGGGATAATTTAATTGCATATATACAACTAATTTAATTGTATAAAGTATCGCTTAAGAAAACAAACATTTTAATAAAAAAAATTAAGCATTAATTTTACATTACTAAGCCACAGAGCAGTAAGAAACATAGGATATATTCGAGTGGTGTCTAACTCGGAAATCATAGAATTCCCTCTATAATTTTCTAGAATAGTCTTCGACCTTAGCGGTTTGGGGTTGGGTGCGAATCTTTTGCCACGAATACGCAATATTGGGCACAACACAGTTTGGCCGAAATTAGCCGATAGTGTACTTGGTTAGTTCGGGATGGTTTGGGCTTCACATTCGTCAACATTCGCGGTCGCAATCTGACGCGAACATTCGGCAAAACATTCGGGCGAATGTTCGGCGATAGTGTACTGGTACAGTTAGGGTCAGCTGTATTTCGAGTAGAGTTGACAAAGTCAAGAAGCATTTTTTGCAAATCGGGTTAGAAATCAATGGTCTCAGACTTAAAATGGCTTATTCCTTTATAAGGCTGGTTATTTTAGCACCAAATACATATTTCCATATTATCTAAATGTTTATATTTACAGTGGACCAAAATAAAATAAAAATGTCGAGCAAAACTGTAGAACAAGTCTTTGAAAATATAACAGCAGATCAAAAACATCCTCAAGGATTAAATATTGGGAGTTGATTATGCTTCGTGATCAGTAATTTGTCCTATTGCTCCATCTAGGTAACCATATTGTTACAACATCATCCTAACGACAACGTTTTTGCTTTACAATATAGACCTGCAAACATGAGATACTTTTGACTAGAACAATGACTGGAGTCACGTATAGACTGATTGATGACCGAAGCTGTGACTAGACGTCTACAGACAATAACTGGAGAACATCTTAGGCCAGTCA